GCCCGGCGGGGGAAACATTAGCCGCTTTCTGCGCGCTGCCCCGCGGGAGCTGCGGGGCCGCCGGCAGAACGAAAACAGCCTCAAAAATAATAATAAATAACCAAGGCGGGAGCGCCGGGCGGCTGGGGAGAGCGGGAGGGGTGTGCTGGGGCTGGTGGTGGGATGTGAGGGAATGCTGGGGTGGGAGGAGGGAAGGGAGGAAAAGAGGCCTCTCTGTTTCCTTCCCATCCCCGTAGCGCTAATGAGAGGCTGATTCCAAACTCCCCTTCAGAGCAGGGAGAGGACTCAAAAGGGAGCTTGGAGGAGCCGGGAGAGTGGGATGAGTGCTGGGAGCAGAGAGGGAGCAGGAAAAATGGAAAAAAAAATACTGGATAAAAGCCGCTGTCCCTCCCCAAAACTTCCACAGGTCCTTGGGGGCTTTTGGCTTCCAAACGGGAGCAGAAGCGCCGGGGCCCTCTGCACAGCCTGTCCCTGCCCTGGGAAAGGCACGTTTTTGGCTCGGCACCGCGAGCCTTCGGATGGAAAAGCTCCTCCTTGTGCAGGCGCAGGGCCAGATCCTGCGGGGGCAAAGCAGGAATCCCGGCCGAGAGCAGGGTGGGAGGCCGGTCCCGCACGGAGACCCTTCTCCGCACGGGGACCTCCCTGCACTGAGCACATGCACTGAGCTGCGTCAGGCCTCTGCTGCAAGAGCCGGCAGGGAGCAGGGCTGGAGAGGGTGGCAAAAGCCACGGTGACCTCCGGAAGCTCCAGCCCAGCCCCTGGGACGCAGGAGCTTGCGGCACAAATCTGTCGAAAGCATCGCGAGCGGCGCAGAGCCCTGCAAGGGGCCGCGGCCACGGAGGAGGGGAGGCCGGCGAGGCAGGAAATTTCCAACGCCGGCCCTCCGGCTCTCCCTGCAAATACTGTGCAGTCGGAGTTGCTGGCTGCTTTCCCTGGAACTGTGGGGCTTGCAGAAGCGCACAGTGGGCTAAAGCTACGTCGAGCTCGGCCTCCGTGTTCCTCCAGCAAAACAGGGTGCGGAGCAGAATCGTCCCAGCCTCTGAGATGGGTAAAGCCAAAGGCCGGTTCTTAGCCTCCAGCTCGGACTTCAGAGCCTTTCTGATGGGGAGCTCATGGACAAGGTGGGGGGCACTGAAGAGCACCCTGCAATGCTCCTCGGCGCAGCACATGGAGGATGGCACCGGCATGGGGACAATCGCTGGACACATCTTACAGAGCAGCAGAAGGCCAGGACATGGGGACTGCAGAAAAACCTGCCTTTGGAAACCCACCCCCCGTTTTGCTCCCAAGCTGACACAACCAATGGGAGGAACTCGGCAGCTCCGTGCAGCAGCCCAGCACTGCAGGGAGCTGCTCCGGCAGCGCCAGCCAAGGCCCTGCTCGCTTGCCACTCGCTTCCCCCCGGCTCTTTCCAACAAGGAGCATTGATCTGCATCCTTCAGCTTGTCCCGGGGATGCACGTGGGGCTGGCATGCGTGCAGAGACTCACATGTCACAGCATCCTGTGCCAGCTCGGGCCGGGCCTTGGCCGCTCCGTTCGTCAGGACTTTCCGGGATTCGGTGTCTTCCTTGGGCTTCTCCCGCTTGGGCGCCGAGGGGCCGGGAGCAGGACGGGCCGGGGGCCGCGGCTCAGCCGGTGCTGCTGCCGGGGGCTGCTGCGGGGACGGCCGCAGGGTCTCATCCTCCTCTGCAACAAGAGCGGGGTTGGAGTGGGGCTGCACCGAGCACTGGTGTCTTCCCTGGCACGGCCGAATAGTCACCAAAACCCAGAGCAACCCAAGGGCAGAGCCAGGGCTGCTGCACACTCTGCAATGCCACCCCGGGCACCTTCAGGGATGTGGAGAATGTCAGGGGTGGCAGGAGCAATGCCAAGGGTCCCTCGGGATGGACACAACTGCTGCATCCCGGCTGCTGCGCTCGGCACACGGGCAGCTCATCCCAAAACCCTCCCCAGGCTCCCCCATTTTTCTACCACAAAAAAAGGGGGATCTGGTCACACTCAGTTGCTCACACTGATGTTTTCCTCCCTTTTCTGCCCAAAAACCCACTCTCTTCCCAGCAGAGAATGCAAAGAAGCAGCGTCTGTGGGACCCGGCTAATGCAAAGCCCATGTACCGAACCAAGAAGCTCTGTTGCCACCAGAGATTGGTGGGGGGGAAAGGAGAAAATGGCATCGTGCATCCCTGAGCAAAACGCAGGCAGTGGGGAGAGGGCAGAGCCGCCGCGCCGGGTCCGGCCGCCCTCCTCCTTCTCCTGGCTCCCAGAATAGCCTCGGTTTGCAAGCAGGGGCTGGAGCACACTTTATATAACACTAAATTATACCTTGGGAGCAGGCCGGGAGACCAACCACCCATAATTTCCCCTGCTATAACAAGAGGTCCTACATGCGGGCAGGCGAGGGCAAGCAAGCGGCCCCGGATGCTTTTTACGCTCGGCAGAATGAAAACCGTGCCGAGACAAACACCCCTTATGAAGCCCAGCTTGGTAGGGCAGCAATTGTCACCCCCTGAGTTTTGCTGGGTTTTAAGGCTATTTTGCAGACAGGTTCCTCTCTGGGGTGAAAGTCACCCAGGTCAAGATAAATCTGCCTTTCCCCGGGAATTCTTCCTGAACAAGGTCTGCGGAGTGCTGCGCTCTGGCTGGACGTTCCCACAGGCCGGGTGATCTTGGTGCTAAATCAAAGGAAATTCAGCTGCTCCAGTTGAATCCTGCACAGAGCTGCTGGCTCCAAAACCCAGATTTGGGGGGGAGAAGAGAGGAATCCCAGGAAAGAGGCCAAAAATTCCCTGCCAGGTTCCTCTGAGCATCCAGAGAAACACGCAGAGGAGGGAGCAGCCTGGTCACTATCTCTGGGTGCGTCTGCACATAGGCATGGTATAGGGTGAATAATAACTGAATCCCAGCCTTACCCCAGGCCCCGGTCATGCCCCAACCTGGACAACCTGCGTCAGAGCCATGAGCTCACTCATCGCCCTGTCTGAAGACTGTCAAATCCAGACACGAATCCTGATGGTTTGGGAGCCACCTCTGTGCCCGTGCTCTGTCCCCAGCAGCTTGAGGACAGGGAGCACTGCAGGGCTAGAGGGAGACCCAGCTGGCAATGCGGACTGAGGCCATAGGCACTGGAAGGTGACATCGCTGGGCACGGGGACGATGGGGACGCTGCTGACATGAGCTTCGTTCCTGCCCCGGCCACCTCGCCCATGTAATTACGCTGCACAGCAAGAGGTCTCGCACGCAACCGCAGCAAGAGGAAGCTGGCAATTAAATTAACGCCCACTGCAACAAGCGAGGCAGGGGAGAGGCAAAAAATAGATGGGGGAGAAATCCAGGCAAGCTGGTCCTGCCCTGGGCTGTGTGCTGGTGGATCAGTGCAGTGTCCATCCAGCAGGTCCCTTCCGCACCACGGTCCCCAGGAATCTGCTCCTGCTTCCCTGGTAGGTCCTGCTGTGGGAGCAAGTCCAGGCTTGAGCACAAGGAATCATGTGGCTGCCTTCCAGCACATTGGCACCCTGGTAGGAAACAGTCCCAAGTCCTCGCAATGGGGAGCACCAAGATGTTCCCGAGTCGCTTCCACCCGCTGTCTGCATCAAACGAAGGGCAACGATGCAAGATGACTCTTTCGTGGAGCAGGATGGAGATAACAAAGCACTTAAGTGCAGTACAGCAGCCTCAGTGTGCAAGAGCGCTGCCTTCAGGGAGCAGAGATGAGCAGAGCTGATAGGTGTGCAGCTCCTGCCACTCATCTCCAGGTTTCTTCTGTCTACTTGTCCCCATTACAAAGCCCCAAAGTGCTTAGAAAGGCCTCTGGAAGTCACCAGGCTCCAAATTTCACCAAATCTCCCCAAAAGAGCTGCAGAAGCAGGAAGCATTGTCAAGAGAGATGCACATAAGCTCTAGATTTCCATCTGCTTTAACTGCGCATCCTGTAGCTACACCATGGAGTAAAGCATAGGGAATGAAGGCGCTGCCAGGAATGGCTCTGATCGGCACCGTCAGCATCTACCCAAGCGGGATCAAAGCCCGTGCGCTTTGGCTGGGGGAGGCGTGCTCGGTTCCTGCTTAGCTTGCAAGATGGAGCTGACCCATTCCGAGCTCCAGACAAACAAATGGGAATTGCACCGCTCAGCAGCCTGGCCCAGGGCAGAGTTTCGCAGCCCGTGTAAACAGGGGATAAACCACAGTCAGCAGGAGCTCAGCTGACCAGGCACGTCCCCAACTCGGGTGCAAGCCCGGGTGGCCGCAGGTGCTCTTTCCCAGCTGGAAAGCCAAGGTCTGGAAAGCTGCAAAGCTGGAGCCTCATAGATGGGTCAAACCCTTCTCAATTTGGACCTCTGCTCATTGCGGGTCTCCTCTGGCCAGGCAGAGAGTTTGGATACGGCGAAAACAGCAGGAAATCTCACAGCAGGCAATGGACAGGACCTCGTGAACAGGAGGAACATCCTAGAGCTAAGACACCTTTGGGCTATCGAGCTCCGGAGAGGATCTCATCTCTGCGCCAGGATGTGTTTGGACAAGGGGATGTTCAACCCGGTGCAGGGGGCAGGAGAAGGGTCTTGACACACATGGGCTCTCCTGGAGCCATCGAGAATCCCAAACTCAGCCAGGGTTGAGTCTCCTGCTGACCCATGGGAGCCACTTGCTTCCCTCCTTTAATCCCCCAGGAAGGGCTGGTCAGGGAAGAGATAATGTGGGATGGAGATGCAAACAAAGACAGTCTAGCGAGGCACCTGCCATTAACAACATGCCACTGTGCAGCAATATTTAGTTTGGGAGCTTTCTCATCTGTTTTAGGCAGATAAAACGAGTGCATAATCTCTGTGCTTCCCCACACAGGCGCCCTGGCCTATGCCAGGGATATTTTGAAGCTTGATTAAGTGGTTTCAAGTGCCGAAGAAACAGAGCTGCAGCAAGAGCTTCTAACCGACGAGCCAGGCTGGAGAGGAGAGCAAAACCCTGGGTTGGAAGTTTACTCAACTGGGAGAAATCCAACCAGCTTATTTACCCTCAGTCTGAAATTAATGCACCAAAAAGCATTTGAGATTCAGGGATATTCAGAGAAAGGAAGGAGGGTGGGAGGGAGCAAAGCTCAGAAGTCACAGAGCTCCATGACAAGTCATGTCCGTGCCAAACTTCGCATCCCAAACTCGGCCGTGCTGCGGGAAGCGCTTATCCCAGCAGCTCCCCGCTCACCTGGACCCCGCTTGGTAAAACAGCCCAGTTCCAGGACAATCAGGAATCTGGGCAAAAACAGCAGTTTCTATGAAAAGAGACTTCCTAAACGCAAAAAGCAAAACAAAGCAAAAAAACCCACAAAACCCCAAATAGCTTGCCAGCTCCAGAGTTGTTGTTATTTGGTATTTATAGCGATCGGTGGGTAGGCAGAGAGGAACTCTGGGCTGGCCAGGCAGGACCAGCATCTCTCTGGCTGCTTCTCCAGGGTCCAAGGGAGGTCCAGGGCACCTGGGTCAGGAAGAGGTAAAACCACCTCAGGCATCAAGAGCTGTAATGACCTCCTGGCTGCAGGAAGGAAGAGCACGTCCCCTCCAACGCTCTATTTCTGCCCCTTTCTTATGGCTAGGTTGGTGATAGAGCTGGTGACACTTGACCTTGGCTGAAAGTGCACTGGAGTTGGGACAAACACTGTCTCTCTTGGCAAAATCCCATCTCCAGGGAAGGTTTTGGCACAGACTGCGCCTAGATCTTGCTGCAGATCCTGTTGCATCATCAGTTTCCTGGAGGAGCCTCGCACGTCCACCATCAAGGGAGCGATGCCACCCCAAAGTCCTGCGGACACGGTGGCAGGGAATGTCCTACCGCCTCCAAAAGAGGGGAAAAATGGGAAACCATGAGCCAGGGCTCTGTCCTCCATCTGCTTGGCCAGCCCCCAAGAAGGGGCCGCAGGGAAGAGAAGAAATCAACCCCTTCCTGTCCCTATCCGCAGCTTTAGCACGGGAGCAAAATTCCAGCACAGTCTATGGGGATCCACCTCCACTAGGAAAATGCAGCATTTGCTCTAGGCTGAATCAGCTTCCTGGAGGCAAAGCCCATTCAGAGCCTTGCAGCAGGTTGGTGCTAAGGGCTGCCCAAGACCTAGAGAGCCCCATGGTCTCCACAAAGGTGCCTCAAACCCTCAGCAGGTCTCGGCCATGAGGATGAACCCCAGGGCTCCATAAAGCCACGACGTTTTGTCGTACTTAAGAGGATGAGAAACTTGCTCCTGTCATTGCAGGCAACACTGAGAAACTTCCTTAAGCAGCAAGAATATAGTTAACAGGCACATACAGGGTGGCAATCAGGTTCCTCACGTACTGCAGATGCACGTGAAAAAGCCCAATGCCAAAAAGCACCAGGCTGGACGACATAGGATTTGCCCCAGGACACAAAATAGATCTAGCCAAACCAATAAGGTGGAGTTTCCTGCACCCTTGCTGCTAGTCCAGCCCATCCAGGGAGTCTAGCAACTGCCTAAGGAAAATCACGGAGCAAGGTCTAGCACTCCCAACACACTGCAGATCGCGAACACATCGGCACGCTGGATAAGAACAAGGGTCCAAAGAGTCTGGATGAGGCTGAAGCAACATCCATTGACTTCAAGGACCAGCACCCGGGCTTGGTGCCTTTTGGTGGCCAGCCCAAAACACCTTGCAAGCCACAGGGACCCAAAATCGTCATACCAGGAGGAGA